ATCTGTTTCACTTCTCCTTTCAGGCAAAACTTCACCCATAATATTTCTCATGGGAGGCAGTTGGCTTTTGGATTTCTACTAACTACTTTCTGTTCAGTTCCTTCCTAGGAACTAAATAGATTCCTAAGAATTACCAGATGTGAACTGAGCCAGTTATAGGAGGGAAGGCATTGCTGTAGGGATTCTGCTAAGTGAGGAAGCCACAGCCAGACCAGTGACAACAGAAAGCACTGATGCCATGAGTGCTTCTGAAGCTGGCTTGGGAAGGGTGAACTTCCTCTTGAGTTAGCTGAAGTCAGAACTCAGAGGCTATAGTACTGTCACCACAAAGGCTGTAACTGTAACCTTCTTAAAGTCCTGCCTTTCTTAATGTCAGTGACTCAGATCAGGGTTCTCAACCCAGGGCGGCTACCTGATCCCTGGAGAAGGTTAAAATACAATGCAATGCCTGTCGTAGGGACCCTTTCAGTGGGTCTAGGAGGAGTCAACAAAGTTGAGTTTAAGTCGACAATATTTGGGAATCTGTTTTGTATTTTTTATTTTAAGAAAATGCTAGGCTTACAGAAAAGTCACAAAAAGAGTACCGTGTTGCCTTGTATTTCTTCTCTTCCTTCTCTCAATGTTATCACCTTGTATGACTGCAGAAAAGCTTGTCAAAAGTAAGACATTAGCACTGAAACAGTATACTAATTAACAAGAGGCTTATTCAGATTTTACCAATTTCTCCTGAAAAGTCCACTGTTGATTCCAGGGTCTTACCCAGGATCCCACATTACATGTGGCCATCATGTATGCTTAGTCTACTGATCTTTTCAAGACATTTCATAAAATATCCTGGGAAAGTGCTGGTCAGTTATTTTATAGAGTGTCTACTCATGTGGAAAAACCTCTTTTAATGGGTAGACTTTATATAAAAAAATGAAGGGAGAATGAAAACAAAAAAGAATTCAGGTGGTGAAATTATTAACTTCAGCCAAGAACAAACGCAAACAAAATCTCCAGGAAATCTAACACCAAGATACTGAGGACTATTCATGTAAGTTCCCTATATGTAAGTTCAAAAAGCATGAGTGGGGCTGTCATTTTAACTTCATTCAACAGGCAGAACAAGATGACTGAGAGACAGTTTGGAATAGTAGCAGGCTTATTCTTCCCAACATGAACATTTGAAGACTGTGAAGTTCTGTATTAGTCCTCTGGTCCTAGATGCAGTGCTACTCATATAAAAATCTTTAGCATGTTATTTTTCAAAAGCCACACCCAGAGCTCCCACATCATGATTGACATGCTATACAAACACAAATAAAACTGCCAGTGATTCACAAGCAAAAGAACAGAAATGAATCTCTGTCAAGTAGAAGTAAATCCTGGTCAACTTCTCATTCACTTGAGAGTGTCACAAAGTGTCCTGCCAGGCTCCACCCATTCCAAGTGTGGGCTATGATTCGGATGTCTTGGCTCAAATCCTTTTCTACTCCTTACTGGGTGAGGCTGGGCCACTGGGCTGATCTTTCTGTGCCACCAGTTGTTTGCCTACTGGGGGAATGATAACAGCACCCTTCACATGGGATCTCTTAATCTATGTGAATGTTCAGCAAATGGCCCCTGCCATCACCATTGTTCTCAGATAGGACTCATTTATCAAAGAGTAAGCATTTAGTAGGATTAAAAAGTTCCTTCATTTTCAAGGGAGGAAAAAAGACAAAAATAAGGTGTCCTTCCTGATTCCACAATCCTGTGCTGCATATTGACAGCAAAGATGACCTGTGTCAGAGCCCCTGGCATCACTGTGGCATCGCTGTGGCATTATGAGAACTGTGTCAAGTGTCTAGGGCACTGCTGGTACCAGCCAAGGGACCTGTGCTATGTATGGAAAAGTCACCAAGCAGATGGGGACAAAACATTTCCAGCCTGTTCTCCATTAAGCAGCCTTTGTTCAGGAGAGCTGAACACATGTGGGGGAGTGCATTAGGTGGGAGGTGGAAATGGGGAATGGAGGGTACCCCATCTATATCACTAGACCATCAGCCACCTGAGCCTGACACCTGAAAGCTCCCCTATTTGATGGAAGGGTTGTTTCTTCTGGGGAAGTTTGGGTTGTACAAATCCATGTCCTGCGGCTCCTGTATGAGGCCCTTGTTCTCCTTGGTCCCCAGCCTTTCTCTGTTTTCTGGAAGCTTTGAGTGGGAGCCAACTCCCTGTCTGGCACGTTCTGCCCTGAGGTTTCTCCTTACCCCAAGTGCCTGTCAGGCTCCTTGGTCCCTAACCTGGAACCTCTGTCCATAGCACTTGGCTTGGGGCAGCTGCTTGGAACACTTACTGAATGACAATGAACTGCCAAGCAGACAGAAACGGGCAACCAAAGAGGCTCTTCCTAAGTGAGCTACTCAAAGTGGGCTACAAAACTGCTTTCAGTTAATAACTTCCACTCTTTAGGTTCTTTCAGATGGTAAAGTGAATTAAAGTGAAACATTAGTCTCAAGTTCATGCTCATTACAGTAAAGGATTCATATCGTTCTAAGAGAACTCATCATTGTTGTCATGAAACTCACAGAAAGTAGGATTCCATAAATAGGAAAGATTTTTCCTATGTGTACTCACTTTCCAGGATCTCATCTGGGAAACAAAGGGAGCTAAGCTTTGCCCCAGGAGAGGACACTTGAACCAGACAGGAAGGGCACATGGGAAGGCAGTCCAAGCAGTCTGGAGCATCAGAACTGTGAATGCCAATTGAGTGGGGGCATAGTCTCTGTGTACCAGTGTGGGTATGACTTAGCTTTATCCTGTCCTCTGAGGCTGTCCATCCTCAGATCAAGACATATTAGGAGATTGTAGCATGGCTAGAAAGTGCCAGTGTCCTTTTTCAAGTATTTATATGAGCTGAATGTGATAGCTATGGGATTAGGGGAAACTATGTGAACAGAAGTATAAGAAAAAAAATCTTTAAATGCTTTCCTTAGTAAAACTCCTGACAGTCTAGGGGCCTTCTGTAGTCATGTGCCCATGTATATACCTCACTGCACAGAGATGACCATCCCTAGGCATATGTCCATGCTACCTGATGTGGCTAATAAAATTTGAGCTGCCATGATAGCACTACATGGGCTTGTGTAGGCATTACTGTCTTGATGAAGAGGTCTAAGCAATCTTTCCTAGTTGGAAATAAGAGAGATTTTATCTTATTTTCTGGTATTAAAAATATTTTTCTTTAACAAATACTTAAAAAGTACTTAAGTACATAAAAGCTTATTATAAACTAGTATGTTTGTTGTTGCCCCATAGAGTGAATTCCATTCCTCAGTTAAATGCAGTCTGCCATCAGCCAAGACTCTAGAGCTAAACATTTCATCTGGCTGAGTTTCACATTCAGTCTGGAGTCTGGGGGCAGGGGTAGGGCAGGGTGAGCTAGCCTTAAGAGGAGCTGCTCATGGATCATGGATGGTTCTGGGCTCATACCAAGGTTCAGAAATTGAGTAGGTGGCATCATTTGAGATACTCCTCCTCATAGACCCTGTGCCTCTCAGAAAATCTGTATCTGAAGCCTGTGAGTTTTCCATGGGAGCTTCCTTTCAACTAAATGTTGGATTGGATGTTGACCTCTGTTCAAAGTGCTGATTTCTGGGAGAGAAGAAACCAGTAGGTAGCAGTCCCTGCTCATTCTACCGTGAGCCTGGATCTTTCAGGTCCTTTGCTACAAGCTAAGTGAGCTTTGTCCAGGGACTAATGGGCATACATTGAGGATGTTGCCTGCAGATCCATGAGATGAGGCCCTGGCTCCTGGGGAGGGGATAAATGGAATTACACCTGGCAAGAGAAAAGGGAAGGCACTGTAGGTGTTGTACTTCTACTCTTTGACCAAAGACCTTCCTGAGATTCTGAAATCGACTGATTGAAGAGTTAGGATAAAAGGTAGATCCATGACATATCTTCTGAAGAGAGAATAATACCCCTGACTCTTTTGACCTTCAAAGAAATAACAGAATAGGCTAAATATAATTTATAAATCAAAGGAAATGTGATTAGTCAGTATGTCAAATGAAAAGACTGGTCTGGCAGGGGCAAGTGCCTCCTCAGTCATCTTAGCTGGCTTTGTTTGTGGTGCTGAGGGCTCATCCATGCTAGGCCAGTGCTTTACACTAAGCTACACCCCCAGTCCCCAGCCTTTGTTTTGACATCAAAATTAAGCAATGCCAAACAATGGGAGAGAAAAAACTCATATTGTCAAGCTAAACACAAACTGGTTGTCTATCAGTTGAATACAAACCTCCCTCCAGATTCCAGTGATGCTGCCCAGTGAAGAGAGTGGGACCACTGGCTTTCTTTGCCTTCTGTGTTTCACAGAGAAAATCCACCCAGAAGTAATTTGTCTATTTGCTCCTTGGCATGTATAGAGTCACTGATTCTTCTAAACATTGTCCCCAAAGGCCTTTTGATTAGTGGAGACTGAGACCTGTAACACAGAGAAACTCATCCTGAACATGCTGCCTACTCTGGTTTCTGGTGATACCTGACTCCATGAGTTCCTGGTCATGTCTCTAGCTATCACTGCTCCTCCTGCAGGTTTGCAAGATTGTTTGAGCTTGCTGAACCCCTCACTAAGCAATGGATACTCTACCTACTTAACGTCAGTAGAGCTCGTGTTTTCCTATCTGTAGTTACTCCTCCAGCTGTTATACTTTGTGCTGGGTAGATGTGGAGGTCTTCACATATCATCTGTCATTTGCAGTTGGTACCTACTTTAAAAAAACCCTGCAGGAGTTCTTGCCCTCCTTTTAGATCCTTATCCCTTCTCCAGGATAGCACATCATCAGGCAAGCCTGCTGTAACCCCAAGATTTTCTCTGCCAAGGGTGAGGAGGTACAGCGTATCCCTGGTGCCCCCAGCTTCCTTATGGGTCCTTGGGGAGAAGGGGAACTGGTGTACTGACTGCTGTCCGCCTCACTGCTAAAAATTCCTTCTCTTCTTCTGTCTTTGGCTGTGATCTGTGTGTGTCACAACAGTGCGAAGGACCCTGAAGAGTGGCCTGACTCCAGAAGAGGCCAGAGCCCTGGGCCTGGTTGGGACTTCTGAGTTGCAGCTGTGATCCTCGGGGCACCTGTAGGAGTGTGCTGAGCAGAAGACCGCTCTGACTGGACAGAAGCCCACTGTGGGGTGGAGGAGATTTGCCCCTAACACCCGATGGTTCTAAAAGGAAGCATTCACCTGTTGCCCTGTGGCTTTTGTTGCCCACTACACATTGACATAGATCTCCAGAGATCTCCTGCACGAACGTTTTTTCATCGTGTCATCTGTGTTTCTCTTCTTTTCTTAACACCTGGTTTGTTAGTTTCAAAGTGTGATACTTTTTCCGGGCAAAGAATGGCCCTTTTAAGGAACAAATCACTTCTGTCACAGTTATGATAATATGAGGCAATTTGATTAGATTCACATACTGGGTCTCTATGACATGAAAATATCCAGATGTAAACTCCAATCTTGTACTTAAAAGAAAGCACAGATTGTTTACCAGTTGTGGATTTTAGATGTACTAAATATTTATACAAATTCATAAATGTACACCATGTTTCAAATACTAAATAAATAGAGTTTAAAGCCGTAATGAGAAACTTTTATTCTTTCAGGTGCAGGAACTTTAACTGTCCAAGCTCACATCCTTTTCAAGGCCTCTTTGAGGGGCATCAGAAGCCCTTTCTTAGCATGACTTACAAGGCACTTGGGTTGTATTTTTCTGCTGGTGAGAACAGTGCCAGCAATGTGCTGTTGGAAACTCCTGGTGTATAGGTAGGTACCAGTTGTTCTTGTAGGATACACTAGCTGTCATTACCTAATAGACGTCATCCCTTACCCATACATAGGCTTCCTGTGATGCCAAACGTAGGGGAGCTTTTGACACAGCTGAACTATTTTGCACTCACCTTTATCTTTTATGTAAAAACTCAACTTAGACAATCCTAAATTGCCAAAATCAAACCTGTGCCTTCAAAAGCAGGGAAAGGTAAACCATTGCAGGAGGTATTTCGGGCGTTAGAAGATTATTTCATCTTTGCTTCACTTTCCAAATCCCTGTGCCCCAGCACCTGGGGTTATGTGATTTGTAGACAGCATGGTGGCAGAGGGACCTAAAAAGCCAGAGACAGTATATTCACACCATGGGACCCTACAACTATGTACCTCCTAGTTCAGTCAGGCATTTGTGAAATGGTATCTGATGGAGATGAATACTCCAGAAGAGCCTGAGTTCTGTTTCTGGATCACAGACCAGTGGTGTTATTTAATCACAATTGAAAATGCTAACATGCTATGTTAATACTTATTTCCCTTATGGTTCTGGATGACACGTATAATATTCCATACATGGCTTAGTGGTTTGTGAGAGCATCTGTCTGTTGCCTGGGCACTCACTACAGACATAGACTATCTGTAGCATATGGGATACTGATGGACAAACAAAAGGAAGCTGAATTTTGTCACATTGTTTAGTGAGCAAATACCTTGATGCTGTTCTAGAGGCCCTTGGTGTGCTGCTGAGAGTTGTTGCTTTAGTATAAAGAGATCACATTTGGAAGGATATGTGACTGAATTAATCTAATGTTAATTTAACTTTAGGGATCAAAGACTTTTCAGATTCAAGCAAGGTTAACGAACTTCTTACAGGTAGGTAAAGGAGGTTTATTTTTAATTTTTTAAATGTATTTAGTACAGGGTCTCCAGGGTCTCACTACACAAACTGTACTCAGTGATACTCCTGTTTTCAGCCCCCAAGCACTGGGATTACAGGGGCATGCCACCACTCCCAGTCTCAATCGCTGTCTAAGCATGCCCCAGAGGGTGGGGCCAGCATGGCATGCTAGGGATCGAACCCCAGTCCCTGCATCTGCCTAAGCAGGTGCTTTAGTCTGCTGAGCTATTTTGCTGGCCCACGGAGGGTTTCTTATTGGGAATGAAATTTTCAATGTTCTCTCTGTAATACGGCAATAATACAGGGCAGAGGTCCCCTAGTGTGTAGCATGGACTCCTAAATGTACCAAGAGCTACTGATGTTTGTGCTTTTCCCAGGGATTGTGACTCAGTTGATCTACAGTGTGGCCTGGACTTTGTAATGTTAAATGATCATCTTGTTTCTAATATAAAGATGAATTAGAAAGCCATGGAGCCATAAGGGTGTTTTTTCTTTTTCTTCCTTGGGGTAGGAGTTAAGAGACTGAAGATGGTGTTTTTTAGAACTTCACAAAACCAAACAATTCCCCAAGGCAGGACTGTCACCTAAAATGGTAAGAGAGATTGTCTCTCGAAGGTAGAGTGTACTCAGGGATAACAGAGGGACTGTAATGTTTGCTGTGGTGAACTATAAGTGCATCCATGAGCTTGGGGCAAGGGGGAACTTTTAAAGGCAAAAGACAGAAGTTAATTGTTAATTGTTTTGAAACTAAGAGAACACTGGTTGCAGAGGCTTATTGCAGGAGCTGATGTCAATTAGTCTGCCTCAGTCTGTTGGGCAGGTGTTCTTGTATGCATGTAGCTAGTTATCTTTGTGTGGCTATCTGTAGCAAGTTGTGGCTCAGAAAAAAACATTTCCTGTGGGCCTTTATCTTTTTAAATAGGTAGAGCATGTCAGTGCACTATCATGGCCTTTGGGGTTCACTTTACAAGGGTTAGACGTGTCTTCATTTTGGTATCGATAACTTTTGCACTGTTGAACAGATCAAGCTGGCCGTGTTTGAACAAAGACTTCTTCACACTGGGTGTTTAGTGAACTGTATCTGATCTTTTCCTGTCCTAAAAGCCAGGCAGAAGGAAGCTAGTCCCTCATTAGACATTTTCTCATGCCCAGTAACATGGGAAGAATATGGGTAGTGGCATAAGAAGCCAGCCCTTGCCACCTCCCTTTTATTCACGTTTGCTACAGGAAACAACCCCAGACACTGTGGCAAACTCACACGGTAGTCAAAGTGTACCAGTAAGAGAGCCTGTGAACCCTGATTGCTGGGCTGCTGTTCCAGATTCTCTTCCCACTGGGCTGTGGAATGCTACTGAGAAGAGATCCATCAAAAAGGTCTGGAAGAGTCTGGACACAATTTGTCTGCTTCTTTAAACTCAGCTGGTTTAGTAGTTTTTAGTGAAATTGGAGGAAACTTATTTCATTTTCTCTTTGTTGCCATGTATCCTGGCTGCTTTCTCTGAAAGAACTTCAAGAAGCCTTAAAGTGAGTGGTACCTTTTATTTGTAGGGTGCTACTGCTACTCCTTTTGTTCACTACATAGATATTCTTGTGCCTGTATCTTCATATGGATGCTAGTAAAGATAAGCAAGCACTTTTCTATTAAGGATGCTGGGTTTTGGTTTCTTTGGAATCTTAAGGTTTTTTCCTGTTCAAAAAGTAACTTAAAAAAAATAAAAAGTAATTTATTTTTCCAGGTGTGGTGCTGCATGCCTCTAATCCCAGCACTGGGGAGGCTGAGGCAGGAGGATCACTGGGAGTTCAAGGCCAGTCTGCGTTACATAGTGAGTTCAATACCAACCTAAATTATATAGTGAAACCCAAAAAGAAAAAAACAAAAACTAATTCTAAGGGATATGGGGATGGAGGGAGAAGGTGCCTAGGGTCTTACGGGCTGAAGACCCTATTTTCTTTTGAACAGTGCAGGGAGGAGGAGCAGGGGCCGAAGTGGTAGACCTGGTTTTCAGGCTCCTGATTGTTGCTGGCTCTGTGTCACCTGTGGTTCCTGAACCCACTGTTTGTGTTCATGGCCTGAAATGGTGCATGACAGAGTACCACTGTAAGATGTTGAATACTGGCCACCCAAAGGCACCAGGTTCTAATCCCTGGAGCCTGAAATTGTTACCTTATAAGGAAGAGCCTTGATAGATATGATTAACTTGAGGATCTTATTATGGGAAAATCACTGTGGACTGTCTGGGTATGTCTTAAACCCAGTTACAAAGATCCTGAAAAGGGAAAAGCAGAGTGAGAATTCATGAACACAGCAGAGGAGAGGGTGAAGGTAGAAGACTAAGTTCGTGTCGTTGTAAGCCACTAAATTTGTGGTAATTTGTTATGGCAGTCTCTTAATTTCTTCATTGCTGGGACAAACACCCAACACCAAAGCCTGAAAGGAGAGGCTTATTTTGGCTCATAGTTATAGTCCGTGGTTGGCGGGCTCCAAGGATGCTCGCATCTTATGGTGGCCACATGGCAGAGAGAGGGAGGAGCCAGGGAGGGACCCACCTTCAGCCCATGCCCCAGGGAATGGCCTCTTCCAGCTGGACTCCACCTGCTGACAGCAGGGTAGCTGTACTGCCTCCATGATTTACACACTTCCAAAAGACCTATGAGTGCAGAAGACCTTTGGGGGATTTTTTTTATCTAGATAGTAGTCTGAAGAAGCTATATAGCCACAGCATATATGCACTGATAGCCAATAATGGAGAAAACTGCAAAGACTGGGAAATGAGCTGGGAAAGGATTGCTATGATCTCTCAGGGAGACTACCAGGAGCTAGTTGAGGTGGTAGCACCTAAGGTCTAAAAATTAGGGCCAGGGATGTAGCTCAGCAGCACAGCGCCTAGCTGGCAAGTGCAAGGTCCTGAGTTTGATTCCTGGTACTAAATAAATAAAAATTTATCACTCATCTTCCATCTATTTTACAAATTGTCTTATCAGAGAACTAGAAATATCAAACTGCCTAAGGGATGAAATTGAAGTATCTGTAGTCACAATCGTTTGTGTTAAAATACATAAATTTTGTTGAATAAGGTATTTGGTAGAAAAATCAGTTGTTGGCTAGGTAATTCACAAAGAGAAAGTGGACTGAATGACTTACAAGTAGTTAAACAGTTATTGAAAGTGTATCTTTGTGAGCACTTGATATAGTCTTTAATATAATCTTTATGGTCATTCTATATTTTCGGTTTCTGTTTAAAAAATTGAATGAGACATGTTTTAGAGAACTTACTCTAAGGTTGTAAGACCAGAAGCAACATATCCTGGCTTGTCACAGTAGTGGTGAGAATGAGCTGGGGGAACTTGGTTTGTCTTGTGGATTTGTTTCTACCATGTCATGCCTGGCTGGTCCACACTTTCACCATACTATTTGGGAGGCCTGATCACAATGGGTTTTGGCTATTTAAAACATCCAGTTAAATATCTGAATCATTTTGCTTCCTACATGTGCCAAGGGTAGGTAGTGGTCAAGGCATGGGTGCTAGGTACCACAGGAAGCATAAGAATGTGTAATTGTAACAACCCTATTTCTGAAACCAGAAGTGAAGGTGCTCTTGGCTGATAAAAAGACTTCTGAGCTGCAGCCCATCAGCATGGCAAGATGCAGTCTTAGAGCTATTTGAATGTCAAAATATCTGAACACTGGTACTATATTTCACTGTGGCATCTGACAAGAGATCGTTTGTGAGCTGAACTAAGATACTCCTGCCTCCAAAATAAAGCAGTAGTCTTTCTTCCCAACTTGTGTAAACATTCATAGAGCATCTTCACAACTTCTTTCCCTTAGTTTTGCCTTGTCAGTATTTTTTGTCCTCAAGTATGAAGCAGCTTTTAATTTAGCATAAAATTATGTATAATTGACCCCTTTTTTAATGGTTCATGGGACACAAGTAAGATAGCTTGCTGGAGTAACTCTATCTTGATGATTTAAGTTATATAGGAAACAAGATGATCAAAAGTTAAACAATTGGGGGCCAGCAAGATAGCTCAGTGGAATAAGTGCCTGCTTAGGTAAGCACAGGGACTGGGTTTGATTCCTGGCACCACATGCTGTGTTGTTCCTGCCCCCGGGTGCAATGAGTCAGCCCCAAGACTGGGCATGGTGGCGCGCACCTATAATCCCAGCACTTGGGAGGCTGAAAACAGGAGGGTCACTATGAGTCTATGAGTCCAAGTTGTGTAGTGAGACCCTGTACCAAATACATAAAAAAAAAAAAAAAAAAAAAAGGAAGTCAATCAAGTGGTACTGTCCTGAAGAACTCAAAGCAGGCTGTCCTGGTGGCCTGGGGCTTCGTGGGTCACTAAGGTAGAGGTAAACTAAACCTGAATCTAGGGAGAAAACTATAGGTATAAAGGAACAGAAGAACCAATCTCAAGTTTTTGAAAGGAAGGGAATGGTTGAGAAGTATAGAACTGGATGGAAACAAAGTTTGGGATCACACCATAAAGGAAGAATGTGGAAATTAAAGCTACTTTTTCCTGAGTTCTTATGTATTAGCTCATTTAGTAGCCAGAATTAACTCCATAATGGAGACTGTGTATTTTATGAGAATGCTTGGCTGAAAAAAATCTGTTGGGGTGAGCAAAAAGAAGAAATCCGTCACAGAATTTGAAGCACAGGCAACATAAATACCTCCCCACCTGGGGTCTAGTCAACTGTAATGAAAGGGCCAGTTATCGCACAAATAACACTACCAGGGACCCTCTACAGTACGTGAGTGGCTACTGTTTTGGCTACATTATAACCTCTAGTGCAATTGTTAAAACCTAAAGCAAAGATGTACAGCTCAAAATCCAATACATTGGAGTTAATTTTGAAAAACCAAAATAAAGTTGGAGGAGTAAATAGGAAAATAGATAAAACATGATTGCCATGAGTTGAAACTGGATGTTAGATGGATACAGGCATTTAATTATAATATATTTATCCTTGTAAATGTTTAATAACCCCATACTAAAGTTTAGAAAAAATAATTATGCAGAAATTTAAAAAAGGGTCACTTGGTCTTTCTATGCCTGTCATTTTATATGACTTACTGGATTAAAAAGCTTTGAATTCTCCATGCAATAAAAAGCACAATTAGCAAGATGCACTAAGTAGCAAGTTTTGGACTACGTCCCATGGTCAAAATCAGCTGATTAAAATTCCTGGTCCCTGGAATCTTTCCTGGCAATTTTAAATGAGTGTGTCTGGAGTGGGATCTGGGTATCTGACTCCAGGGCCATTGATCCATGTTTGGAAGTTTTGGGAGCCCAGTTTTAAGGGGTCCACTGTATGGATTGTCACATGTAACCTGCTACTCTTATTCCCTATCTTTGGCTGAGTCACCTCCCGTGAGTAGCATGATGTAGTGTTTTATGTATGATTTTAATTACATCAACATATCATGAAACACTGCCTGATTCTCCCTAACTCCAACATTGTGTCTTTTGTAGAGTCTACTTTAGTTGCCTTAGTTTCAAAACAAATCTCACGGATGTTTTTCTCCAGGCAATTCATTTGAACCCCATGTTGCTACATCTTTTACCAAAAGTACAGGGCCAGCTTCACAGGGGAATGACCATGTAGCTACAAAGCTCTGCATACTCAGATGGGCCTCCTGTTGATTTACCACTCTCCTGTCACTCCACTAGAACTCTTAATGTTATCCTTCAACTTATGTTCTGTAAGTCACAGGCATGAATAGAGATGTGTCCAGTGTTCCAGAGTGCCATGTGCATTGCAGCTTTTGTGAGCATGAGATTCCACTGGACCCACCATGTGGCAGAGCTCAGTCACATCAGCACAAGGCAGACATTATCTGCCTGTATCTGAATCTGCCTGTATCCGAATACATAGTTTACTGAGAGCCCCAAGAAGTCTTTCTTTCTATCTGAAACAGTCTTGCTTCAAACAGAAGGCAATGGTATTCTAGAAATGTGAATTACTGAGGAACTCTATCCTATCGTTTCTTACTCATGTTATTTTTGTGTATTAGCCAACTACTAATGCTGAAAAGAACTGCATAGACGAAAAGGAAAACAGGGCAGTCTACAAGTTTTTCTTTAGTCTTTTTTTATGCAACAGTGAACTAGAGGTGGATAAGTAAGATGTACACATATCAAGAGATAAATAACAGCTAATCAAGTTTAGCACAATTTTTCTACTATTTTGGTAAAAATGAAACATGACATAGAGTATATCTACACAAAAAATACACTACAAATTGTGTAATTCTGGCAATTCCACATGAGTGGATGCTTTTATATCTGTACACTGAAACTGTACAATGATGAAATGTATTTACTAATTCAAAAAATTTTAAGTTTTTTCTCTGTAAAAAAACCTCACCATAGGGGCTGGGGAGATGGCTCAGTGGAATAAGCACTTCCCTGGCAAGTGCAAGGGCCTGAGTTCAATCCCTAGTTCTACCAGGAAAAAAAAAAACCTCACCATGAGAAGATGTACGAGAGACAATGAAAGAACATTTTAGTACTTTTAGTGGATATATGGTTTTTTTTTGTTGTTATTGTTGGCTTTCTTTTTGAGATGGGTAAGATTCCTACTGTATTGCCCAGGGTGGTCTTCTGATTGTGCTCCTCCCTAGTAGCTTGGATTTCAGGTACGTGCCAGCATATCCAGCTCTTTCCCTGTTCTGTACAAGAGGTTCACTTCTTCAATTTTGCCAAGTCCCACATACCTTGTAGTTGGCCATGCTTTTCATGGCTCTTTCCCTTGAGAATGATCTCCAGCCTTTCTTAACCCCATTCCTGACAGCCTTCTGAGGACTTCCACTGATTATCACTGGTCTAATGGGCACCACTGCTCTCCTGGTTCCTTTGCTATTTCACCTGTGGACTCTAGACTCGACCAAAACTAATTTGTGGGCTTCCTAAGCACTAACTGAAAGGGACTGGCTACAATGGAAGATGACTTGTTGATCCTCTTTCAACTTTGACTTGCCTTATAGAAGCAATCAAATCTTGGTTCTTTTGTTACTTCCTTGAATTATTGCATTTTTGTAAATGTTTGAACTGTAATAACCTAAATAGTTAAAAGGGTTAAAATAGCTCTCAAATTAGGAAAAGTCTGACATAGTCATATCATTGTTGAAAATATTCAAAAATGTTTAAATGACCAGGGAAAATTAAAAGTGGTTGTGGAATGAAAATAAAAGGTATTTTTAACATCCCATTAGAAGTGAACCAGTATAACTGATATACTGGCATATTTTAAAGGAACTGAATATGCTATTAACATGAAGCTGTGTTTATGCTCCCAAAGACTTTTAAGCACAAATGTTTCAAAACTTGGAACTATTACAGAAATGAGGAAGCAACCAACTAGTGTTGGTTTTCTTGTTTTGTTTTTACAGGGTTAGAAAAAAGTATAGCTGAAGTACATATCTCCTTAAAAATAACTTTTGGCAAATGTGTGAACATCACAACACAAAACTGAAAACAACAGAAATTTACATGAAACTGATGAGGAAGTTTATAGAAAACTAATTAACAATGACATATTTTCCTGATAAAGACTATACAATTATATACTCAAAAGTTTTCATGAAATATTACAATCCATGAAGTTAGGGCATTAACATTACTTAACAACAAAAATAAACTGATTTGAGGATGATCAGTATGAAAATATTCTGATGTAGTGATGTCCAAAAACTTTCTGCGACGGAAACATTCTTCATCTCTGTACTGTCCAACGTGGAATCTACTAGCCATGTGAATTCTTGAAATGTAAAGGCAACTGAGGACAAGAAGTTTTCATGTACTTAAATAGCCACATGTGACTAGGGGCTACTTATTCAACTTACCCAATGTTTCTTCAGTCAAAAGCTAGTGTTTCTTTTTGGAGACTTCTCCAATTATTGCTAAGGGACTACAAGTTAGGTGTGCAAAGAAAACAAAGCTCTTAATTGATTTCTCTGTCCACTTAAGATCTAAAATTCTATACAGCTTTTTGAGGCAGAGACTC